CTTCTTTTTCTTCTTGGCCTTCCCTCCGTTTGGGTCCGATAAGCCCTCCAAGGCACCTCCATCTGATGGTACCAACAAACCTTCCTGAAAAATTCCCATTTCATTTTTGTGTTTCCTTTGAGTGTACACTACATCTCCTGTCACATTGTAGAAGTGGTCCGTTCTGTTATTCGAATTGGGGTCTTTATTAAACTCATAAGAGTTGTATAACTTCCCCCCCGTGTGCCCCGTCCGATCTCGGTTATCACTGCTGCAATAACTAAACGGGTTCGAATGGTTTGGATACAAGAAAGTAAAGTCTTCTTCAAAAATGTTATAAATGGAGGACTCGTTATCGTTTGACGTGGATGAGCTGACAACAATTTTCTTCCTACGTCGTGTGCGCTTTGGCATTTGCACATGCACCTTCGCGCTCGTGTACATGGCTCGATTAGACTTGAAGCTACTGCTGGGTTGAGAATCGCTCGCGGGACGTCCGGCCAGACTTCTTCCGCTGCTATCACTCTGGCTGCTGTGGCTACTCTGGTCACTCTGTTCGCTTTGATCGCTTTCATCATTTTGGCGTCCGCCTCCCCTTTGGTCCTTTTCCCCGTTGCCACTTCCTCCCCCATCACCGCTCCTACCTCCACCATGGCCCTTGTCCTGATTCTCATTCCCTCCCTGTTCTCGTTCTTCACGGGGGGAGCCACCACCACACGGTGAGCCGTCTCCAGTACCGCTTCCCCCATCTTTGGCCTTATCATCTTTCGCACCACTCTGCCCTCCATCGGTGCCCTGTAGCGACGGGGCTGCATCCCCCGCCTGGTCCCCTGTACAGTGAACCCTGCTGTGTGTACATTGGTGGGACGCCTCCGAGTGGGGCCTTTTCCTTCCTCTACTCCTTTGTACCTTCATCACAGAAATATCTTCTATTTCGGCGTTGTGAATTATTTCCGCCTGATCTGTCCGTTTGGCCAATTGTCTTGTGGGTGTGACAACATCGGGCGGTTGGCCACTTCCACAGATGGGCTGCACACTCTTTTTTTTTTTTTTTTTTTTTTTTTTTTTTTCCTTTTTGACCCCTCCTTGGAGTCATTCATTAAATACACACCAAATGGGTCCCTTCTCCGTAACACTTTTTTATATATGTCGCTTCTAACCCTTTTAATATTTAGGTTACTTTGTTTGTACCCCATGGGGGTTAATTTGTCACATACCCTGTAGAGCGTCTTTCGCTTTTTCATCTCCCTGTCTTGGTGGTGTATCTTCACCCTTGCCTTTATTTTTCCTACATATATAGAACCCGTTTTTGTGTACTTAAAAATTCTTTTGTTAGAGACATTAAGAAGGGAGTGAGCTGTTGAGGGTGTCACTTGGCCCTCTTGGATCCGATCCCTATCTGACGTTGTACCTTTCATGTTGGGTTAGAAACGAACAAAATAGGAGAAAGGAAACGAGTAAGGTAAAAATGGCCTAAATCTGTATATACCTCAAAATAGAACAAGGATACACATTTGCATAAGATAATATAAAAATGTCAGTGCTGTTGGTTTATTTGATATGGGTTAGGAAAAGCGGGTAGGAGAAAGTGAAGGGTCCAATCCTCATATTCCTTCTCGTTTATCACCGTGTGCGGGATTATTAACCTTAAGTGGTTTTTTTTTTTTTTTTTTTTTTTTTTAAAATTAATT